TGTTTCAGTCAGCCCTATCTGGCTTTTATGCACTTTGTTCAGCTGTAGAATAATGGGTGCCCTGCCAGGGAAAAGGATCTCCCCCTTCTCACATAACAAAGCAATACCACTATCACACTTTACGGCTTGAGTAGCCAAGTTGGGACATTCACTGGGATTTCTGTTCAAGGCTGCCATCTAGTGGCTCCTCTCTGAATCCCTTTCTGTCTTTCCATCTCTGGCACTTGGCTCTGCTGTCTCTCCGGGAGAAAGATGGTCCTTTCCTCCCTTAGGACTGACAGCCTCTGAAAACCCATGGAGGGCCAGCTAAGAGTCCATTCAGACTCACCAGCAGTGAGGGAAGAGTGGAGCTCGTGTGGCATGAGCCTTGTTTTGCTGCTGTTTTGCACCATATTCATAGGTGCTCCTGTACCACGTGCTTGTCTCTCCTGATGGCCTGGATCTTGATCACACACCACACAACCCACAACCCCCACCCCCACCCCCGTAACTCCAAGTCCAGGTTTTTGATGGATGTTTAATGAGTCAGTCACATAAACCCGTGTGCACCTTTCCCCGTTACTTGCAGTCTTGGTGGTCTAACACTGCTCTAATAGAAATGCTGCTCGTGTGTGCTCTCATGGGACGGTTCCAGACCAGCTGTCCTTTGCCATCGGTAGCCATCAAGTTGACTACTGTTGCAGACCGAAGGTAAAATATTTTTATAATTATTAATAATGAGACAGCCAGCCAGGAATGAGATGTTGTGTTGTTTTTCTATAAAATGCTGGTCTGTCTGATACTTCTCTAAATCTGAACATTCAGATTAAGACAGACTAGGAAGAAGGATTGGCCATCCACTTCTGAAATAGCAGGCCTCTGAAAACCCTATGTACAACAGAACACATGTAGATAATAGAAAGGGCAACTGAGGTTGAGCTTTCAAATACAAAGGAAGAGGAACAGTTGTAAGCAGACACTAGTGATTGAGACATGGAATGTGAGAAACATGAATGTAGGAAAATTAGATCTTGTTAAGGAAGAAATGGAACGCATAAATATTGACATACTAGGCATTGGTGAGATGAGATGGATTGGCATGGGGCATTTTGAGTCAGATGATCATATGATATATTACTCTGGAGATGAAAAGGTGAGGAAAAAAGGAGTTGCTTTTATAGTTATGAAAGTCATTGCTAGATCTATCTTGAAGTACAGTATTGTGAGTGACAGGATAATATCCATATGCTTACGCACCAACAACCAGAGCCAAGGAAGACGATATAAAAGATTTTTACCAACTTTTACAATCGGAGATCGATCGAACATGCAGTCAAGATGCATTGATAATAACAGGTGACTGGAAAAGTTGGGAACAGAGAAGAAGATTCAGTAGTTGGAAAACATAGACTCGGAGACAGAAATGGAGCTAGAGAGAGAATGATTGAATTTTGCACAATCAATGACTTATTCATAGCAAATACGTTTTTTTAAGAGACATAAGTGCAGGTTATATACATGGATTTCACCTGATGGTATGCATAGGAATGAGATAAGAGAGAGTAAAAGGGGGGGGGCGGCAGCAGTCCTGATGACTGAGGTGCGCAAACCATGCCTCTCTGTGTATTTACTGAGAATCATCAGGAAGGCAAACAAAGGAAAATCACAAGAGAGTAGAAAATAAAAAGTATCATGGGAAGTCTTTTGCAGATAAGGCCAAGTTCCTTTTTATTGTTTACTTTATGCTTATCTCAGGAGGGAGGAATTCAGTAAATACAAACTAAGAACAGTGTTGACTCTTAAGGAATGCCTTAATGTCACAGGGTGAATTCTAGCTTGTATTATGCCTCTCTCATATCCTGATACAGCATTTGCTTTATTATTAATATTAAATTTGATATTCGACTTCCCACAGACTATAACTTTCAGTGACCTTGTGAACGTGGCCTGGAGGGACCAGTCTTGGAGAAGGACATCTTGCTTGGCAGGGTGGAGGCACAGTTCAAGAGAGGAAGAGATGGATTGACATGATACCTGGGGCAGTGGGATTAGGTGTATCAGAGTCAGTGAAACTGGCTCAAGATAGGGCAGGGTTCAGAGCTGTGGTGCACAGTATCACTATGAGTCATAGGTGACTCATGGCACATAACAAAAACCACCAGAGATACATACATGTATGGATGGATATACACAAGCTTGGAAGCAGGAGTGGCATCTACTTCCGAAATAGCTTGCTTCTGGAAACCCTGCGAACTTGGAGGAACGATGAAAGTTATCCAAGTGTTCAGGTCTTTCCTTCATAGGGTTGCTATGAGTCGTTTATAACTGCTAGCACTTATCAACAACAACAAATACATATGTGTGTGTATGCAACAAACAGTTCCCATTTCAACATTCTCCACGTGTTAAATATGCTCTCGTTTTCCCCTTCATCACTAATAATCACCAGAGGGAGAGATACGGACGTGGCACCAGGTCAAGTCCAGTCTTGTATGTGGGCATGGCAGAGGCCCCTCCTTCCCTTGGCAACAAGACGCTGAAACTTGGTTACTGGCCCCGAGACCTGTGTAAAACAGCCAGGGAGAAGAGTGAAGAAGCCTGGGGGATTATTTGATGGGATACTTGCTCCCTCTTCTCTTGGTATTGGTATGTAACTCTTATTCTACGATGAGCTTGGGGTATGCCAGGGAAGGTTCCAAGAAGGAGCCACTGAGTGGAAGGGAAGGTGGTTATTGCAGGAGGAGAAAGGACCAGGAACAAGATGACCAGCAGATCCCAACAGTTGTCCCTTTGCATCCTGTTTTTCCCTTTCTCTCTGCCTCTGCCAGGCAGCTCTTTAAGAGGCGATAGCCTATGACCTCTGAGGGGTGGCCCTGTGACCAGAGCTTCCAGAACATCACAGAAAGTTCTATTTTCTGTGTCATCCCCATTATGCTTCAAAGAAGGGTGAGTTTCAGAGCCCACTGGTCAGAGAAGAGTGTCTCTGGAGAAAAGGAGAGCTCTTTTATTTGTTGTTATAAAGAAAGACAATTAAAATGAATACCAGGAAGTGCTCACCTCAGAGGGTAAGTGAGATTAGTAACCTTTTAAGTCATATTTCTACTCTTTAAAAGCAGAACAAAAAATCTTTTATTTTCATTATTTAGAGGATTTGGGAATGGTGGAGATAAGAGAATGCTTCTGTCACAGACCAGTTGCTTAGAATCTCTTGAGCAAGCAAGTTTGTTAATCACATTTTTATGTTACAGTATTTGAAGTATTCTGCTTCAGGATAGACTTTCACAGATCTTCAAGTTCTGATGTGAAAGAGTTGAGATATCTATTGTCCTTTCTCCTGTTGTCCTTAAGGCCATTAAATGATATATTTCATCTGACGATTCCCAACTGGTCACACACATTGGAAATAGTGTAGCCTCTTGGTCTCCACACCCAAACCTTCTGATCCAGAGGGTTTGGAGAGGAGCCCTGGAATCTGTATCTTTACCTAGATCTTGAATGTTCTCCAATGGCAGGTCCTCAAGGGGACTTTAGGAACGGTCTTCCCAAGATAGGTGTGTCATTAGAAAGAAACTGCTTTAAAGTAACTGTTCTCCCAAGTCAGAGTGCCAGAATCCTGGCTGTGACAAGTTGAACTGTCAGTTGCCATCCACACAGAAGTGCCAGAGGAGCAAGTTCAAGGAACATTTGGAAACGAAACCGTATGCCATTCAAGTGGCCTTGTTGCCTGGGAGGGACTCCATACTCTGAAATGAAAACCTCTTGCTGTTTCCAGAGAGACTTCAGAATTGGTTATTTTGACAAATCATTTTACATCCTCACGAAGTTCTTACAAAAACCTATGTCTTCTCTTCTTGAAGATACCACAGAGAAATTTTAGCTTCAGAAACCCAATGGAAAAATTTCTGAGCTGAAACAGACTAGATGGGGCCTCTGTGTGTGTGTGTGTGTGTGTGTGTGTAGGGAGCTCTGATGATGCACTGGCTTCGATCAACCATACAAGTTCTTTTTTTATTGTTATTAAAATGTTTTATTATTTTTTATGTGTGTACTGTCAAATCGGATCTGACTAGTACGGGAAGAGATTGCCTTTCCTTCTTTAGCAAAGAATCTGGTGGATTGGAACCACTCACCACTGGGATTGCAGTGCAGCTTCTTACCACTAGGCCACCAGAGCTCCCTCCACACAAGTTTTTTTTTTAAGTTGAAAACAACAGGACCAGAGGCTCCCATACTTTTCATGTATGAGGTGGGGTCCAGGCATCTCTGCTTTTAACGGAATCCCTTTTGGGAGTCAGATGCATTAGGAGTTTTGAGAACCAATGGATAAATTGACCATTTGATCAATGCACTCATTCTATGCCCTTAAAACCTTCAGACTCAGTTTGCACCTTTGCTTGTGGATCAGGGTCATTTTGTCTAATGTAAATGTCAGTGTAGGTGATGTTGTAGTTATGTGTCATTGAGTCGAAACGGCCTCAGCTCACGCTGCAGTGGGTTTTCAGAGGCTTAGATTGTACAGGAGGAGATTGCTCGTCTTTCTCCCTTAGAGGAGCTGATAGATTTGAGCTGCTTGCCTTTGGGTTGGCAGCACAACTCCTTGCCAGTAGGTCTTGTAAAAATGCTGGTTGTGCAATGGGTAAAGCACTTGGTTGCTACCAAAAAGCTCTCATTCAGCAAAGGCTCCAAAGGAGAAAGATCCCGTGATCTCCCCTAACGCAGATAGCCTGTGGTTTCACTCTATCCTACAGGGTTGCTATGGGTCAAAATCGACTCAACAAATATCGCCCTTTCCAAAGTCGGTTGCCTTGTGGCTCTTGCCCTTTCCATTGTATTGGGAAGCAGTGGGATTCCAGCACTTTGGGAGCGAGTGTTTAAAAGCACTGGCTTCAAAGTCAAGTCTTTGCTCTTGTTTGGCTAAGATGTGTTACTTCTCCTCTGTAAGCCTTCATTTCTCCAGCTTGGGTATGGGTGTGAGAACTTTCATAAGGCTGCACGGTGCTGGCACATAATGAGCTGAGACTATGGTAGAGGTTCCTGGTTTAGTCGATAATGAGGTGGGTGCTCCAGGGGAGATGATGAATGTTAATGCGAGCAAGCAATGGGGAGGCGTTGAGACAAGGGTGCCTCAGAGCTGACTCCTGTGCCTCCCTCATTATCCCGCCTTCCTAAGTGAATACACCTCACATAGTCTGTCTCATCTTACAGAGGGGTCAAGTCCAGGGTCATTGCCTAACTTGGAAATGTCAGAATGTCACTCTGACTCTTGAAAGTCCCCCGAGCCATCTTTAAAGTGCTGTTCAGCAACACTGTTCAATAAACCTAACCCAGGAGTTTTGACCTGTCACAAACTGTACTTTCTCCATCCAGGCCCCAGATGCTGTAGTTGTCTTATGCATAGGAAGTGAGTCATTAAAAATTTGCTCAGTGTAATTCAAAACTGCAGTCCCCTCAGCTCTGCAAGGTGCTCATCCCAGAAAGACATTTGGGAGCTGGACTGCCCATGGTGGACACAGGATCACCCCTCCTCTGGAAGCCCACCCCCAGGCATTCCCTCACTGAATGGAGTAAAAGGTCCAACACCCTCGCTGTTTAAATCCTACTTTGCTCTCTTCGTGGGAAGCATTGAAACTTGCTTATTTATATGTAACGTTCACTACAACTGTATGAGCAAGTTTTTACTTGTAACTTTGCATATGTAAAAAGCAAGAGCCTTCTTTTTCTTTTATGTGAGCTCCTTTCATGATAATCAGATGCTGAGTCTCTCGCAGAATTGGGGCTCTCTGCAGAAGGGAAAACATTTTTCTCAGTTTGCTCACAGAGAAGAACTCAAAAGGATCAAGATGCTACAGGAGAGAGATTAAGGTTCTAAAAGGAAAGACAAGTATAGAATGTATGAGGAAGGTCTTGGTGGGCAGAGTGCTTGGTCTCTAACTTTTCTGGGGGCCTCTTTATGCCTTGCTGTATTCTCAGAGATCTGGAAAGCTTTCCTAAGTCCTCAGGAGTAACCTTATTCCCATTTCTCACAGATCAGCAGAGAGGACTCGATACATCACATGAGCCACCCCCAGAAGCGGCCAGAGCTCCCCCCTCTGCCTACGTCTGCCAGTGAGGAACCATCTGAACTCTATCAGGTATGCCTACCCGGCCTCCACTCTCCTGCTGAGGGTGGCCCAGTGAAGGACACTACCTGTCTTCAGTGGTTACTGCTGGTAGGGCAAACAGAGGGACTTAACAAATGGATTTAGGGTCTTTGGCCCAAAGCGGCTACAGCAGTGTGGTAGGAAGAGCCATGCTGCCTTACCAAGTTTGAATCTTGCTTTCTCTACTTACCTCTGGCATTGTTTAAACGTTCCGGACATCTGTGTCCTTAACCACAAAATGAGGGTAAGTGTATCTACTTTATTGCCCTCTGTCTGGGAGGAAGTGCTAACAGGATGCTCCTTAGAGGCAAGGAGGGTGAAATGTCAACTCACATACTTTGCATGTTGTGAAGAAGGGCCAATGCTCAGAAAAAAGGACACTATACTGAAGAGCAATGATGTCAGTCTGGAGACTATGGTGTGCCTGATACATGCCATGATCTTTGCAGTCACTTGTCATGCATCAGAGAGCTGGACAATGACCAGGGAGGATAGAAGGAGAATTGATGCCTTTGAGCTGTGGTGTTGGAGAAGAGTATTGAATATACCATGGACTGCTAAGAAAATGAATAGGCTTGTCCTGGAGAGGGTGAAGTCGGGCTGCTCCATGGAGGCAAGGATTCTGAAGCTCTGTCTGATATAATTTGGGCATGTTGCAAGGAGGGACCGGTCCTTGGAGAGGGACATCATGCTTGGAAGGGTGAAGGGACAGCGCAGGAGAGCAAGACCCTCGGTGAGATGGATTGAGTCAGTGACTGGGGTAATCGGGGTGGATGTGTCAGAGATAGTGAGATTGGCACAGGATAGAGCAGAGTTTAGGGCTGTTGTACATAGGGTTGCTATGAGTTGCAGGCAACTCGATGGAACATAACAACAACAACATGTTGGAAAAGGTGGAGGGTCAGAGAAAGATGAAGAAAGATGAAGACCCTCAACAAGATGAATTGCCACAGTGACTGGAACAATGGGCTTGAGCATGTTCGAGATGGTGAGGATGGCACAGGGTAGGGCAGGGTTCAGATCTGTTGGTCATAGGGTCGCTATGAGTTCAATCAACTTGATGGCACCTAACAATAATATCTGTAAGGAATAGAGTCCCTCGGGGTGTAACAGTTAATGCGCTGGGCCTCTAACAGAAAGGTTGCAGGTTTGAGTCCACTTGGAGGTGACTCAAAGTCTTGGGACTAGGTAATGAACACTGAGTTGGAACAGATAGGGGTAGAACCATCAGAGAGGCAGGTATGATCCAACATATGGGTGACAATGATCTGGAACTAGAAGTGTATGGCCAGGTGGACTTGGGGAGGGAGAAAGGAGGAGAGAGAGGGAGGAAACTTTGCAACAATGAATGAATGAAACCCCAGCTTCTCTGTAAAGCTTTGTTAAAATCACAATTATAAAAAAAAAAAACCAACCCACAAACCCCTAAACAAAAGGTCAACAACTCTTAGTTCTCAAGTACTGCTACAGCAGTGCTACCCAAAGTGGTTGGCTTTAACAAACAGAAATGTATTCTCTTTCCATTTGTTGTCATTGTTGTTATGTGGCATGGAGTCGTCTGTGACTCTGAAGCCTGCCCTGTCACTGACTCCGATACACCTAATGCCATTGCTCCAGATATTGTGCCAGTCCATCTCATGTAGGGGCTTGGATTTCTAGGGAAAGGTGAGCACGCGCGTGCGCTCTCGCTCTCCTTTTCTCTCTCTCTCCCCACCTCCCCCACCAGTGGTGGACGGAAGTCCTTCTTTCTTTTTTTTTTTTCTGGTAGAAGAGAAAAAGCAGTATTTATTCAAGGTTAAATCTCAGAATGCAGCAACGTAGAGGACAGAAGATTGAATGGAAACAATAAAAACAGGGAGGAAGTAGAAAGAACAATTTTTTTAAAAAATAATTTTAATGAGCATTTACAGAGATTTTGGATTTCCATTCATTCATTGCTGCACTTCTCTCCCTGCCCAGCCCAACCCCCCAGTTCGCTCCTCTCTTTCAAAAGTAAAAGAAACACTCCTTCCCTGGGACACAATCCCCCCACACCGCTCCCGCTGCCCCAAGTACATTCCACTATGCGACCTTAATTGTGGACTCCTGTGATAACCATAATACCCTATCATGCATCGCTTTTAAATTATTCACGCCTAGTGGCAAGAAGCTGCACTGCAATCCCAGAGGCCCGCGGTTCGAATCCATCAGATGCTCTTCTGGAGAAGGAGGGACAATCTCCTCCTGTGTACCAGTCAGATCTGATTTGACGGTACACACACAAAATAAAAAAATTCTGAGAAAAACTGGATAAATTGTGTACACTGCACTGAAACGGATGAGGGAGTGAATAATTTAAAAGTCCTTCTTTCTTTCAGAACAAAGACTTTTGGCCAGGTGCTCCATGGAGATTTCCATATGCTTTCGCCTTCCCTGGTGTTCAGAGCTTTTTAATTCAGGAACCTGAGTCTTAAAGGACACACTGCACATCTGTCCGTTATTCCTTGGTGATCCTGGGTCCCCCCCCCCCTTTGCTCTCCTCCTCTTTTGTCTCTGGTGAGTTACTGGCCATTTTGGTCACACTCCCTAGAAAACATACCTTATGTTGGCCCGGGCCACAATGGGAGTAAGGGAGTTAGGTTCTAACCTTAATCTCTCTACAACTCTTTGACTTTTCGGATCATGGGAGAGCTCACGTAGTTGCCACATGATGAACTGCATTTGTCTACGTGGGGAGGTGGGGGAGGGAGAATAGTTCAGTCCATGACATCAGCCAATGAAAACTCTATGTAGTTACACATTATGGGCGATGCTGGAGGACTTTATATTGAGTGAAATAAATAGCTCAGTCACAAAAGGACAAATACTGCATAATGCCATTGTTATAAAATAGAAGTGAGCTGGGAATTGGGGGGAAGCTCAGAAAAGAGGGGATAAATAATGAACACTGCATTGGAACAGATCATGGAAAGAGCTGTTTAGAAGAAATCTATGATTAGGCATTATTTATATAACAACAGTCCAGGATAAGAGGTGCATAGCAAAGTGAACTTGATGTGTGTGGGGGGAATTATGCAATGAATATTTAAAAGGTGAACAGGGAGGGGCAGGGAGGAAAATGTGCAACAATGAATGAATGAAAATCTAACTTTTCTTTAAATGTTCATTAAGATAACAAAAAGAGAACTCTACGTAGCCCAGTTCCACTGTGACATGGATGGGGTTGCTGTGAGTTGGAGTGAACTTTCTAGCAACTGATTTATTTATTTTCTTTAGTGGTAAAGAATAAAGGCTGTCGATAAAGAGTGTCTCACTCACTGACCTTTCTGTCTGTGGAGGACTTATCCTTGCCATTGAAGGTCATGCTCATAGTGGTCAGAGAAGGATAGTTGGGGTCTATTCAGAAAGTATTGTCATAGACAGTGAGGCTAGATGTGCAGGAGGTACTGTGTCTGGGACCCCACAGGGCTCCCTGTGAGCCGAACCCAAGTCCTGCCAAGGCCAGGCTCCCCAAGGGGGCTTCTCATGACTCCTCTGCGTTTGTCTCCCCTGCAGACGATCATGGCACACAGCCTTTATCCCCCACTGATGCAACGTACCTCATGGACTCTCGCTGCCCCCTTCAAAGAGCAACATCAGTACCGCGGGCCCAGCGACGCCATTGGCAACAACTACACCCTGACGGCCCAGCATCTGAAGTTGAAAAACATGGCAAAGACCACTCAGTCGGTTGCCGCCAACATCCCCAGGGAGAAGCGACTTCAGGTGCTGCCACCAGGTATGTGGAAATGTCCAACCTCGGGTTTGAAATCCGACAAGTCACATATGTGAGTCTGTGAGAAAAAAAAACCAAACACAAACAAACAACAAAACAAACCATATGTGAGTCTATGCCAGTAACTTTCTTTTTTTTTAAAAAAAAAATATTATTTTTTGTGTGTGTGCTGTTATATCAGATCTGACTGGTACAGGAGGAGATTGCTCCTCCTTCTCCAGCAGAGCATCTGGTGGATTTGAACCCTGGGATTGCAGTGCCGTTTCTTGCCACTATGCCATTAGAGCTCCCTAAAAAAATTTTTTTTTAATTGTGACTATAATTGTTGTTGTTGTTATGTGCCATCAAGTCGCTTGCGACTTATAGCGACCATATGTACAACAGCCCTAAACCCTGCTCTGTCTGTCCTGTGCCAATTGCACTGTCTCCGATACACCCATCCCGATTACCCCAGTCACTGAATCAATCCACCTCATAGAGGGCCTTCCCCTCCTGTGCTGTCCCTCCACCGTACCAAGCATGATATCTCTCCCCAAGGACTGTGTAGGATTTTCATTCATCTATTGTACATTTTCTCTCCTACCCACCAAATTTGCCTTTTAAAAAAAATTTTATACTGGTTTATTTACAAAGTTTGAATATATTGTTTTTCCACAAAAGATCCTTCCCATCTCCTTCACCCCCCACTCACTGAATTGTGCAACCCTATGATTAACATCCCCCAATATACTTTTTTTTTAATTTATTCATTGTTGCATAATATCCTTCCTCCCCTGGCCCCAGTCCACTTTGCTATGTACCTATTATTCTGGACTATTGTTCTGAAAATAATGCCTAATCATATATTCCTTTTAAATAATTATTTCCTTCATCTCAACACAGTGTTATTTATCACTTTTTTTTTTTAAAGGAAATAGTACTTAAAGGGGAAAAAGAAATTCAAAAGCTTCTGCCCAGTTACTGAGGATGTTGTAACTATAGTTTTGTAGGAAATTGTGCCCTTCCTGAAGTTCATGTCCAGTAGTCTCCTTCTGTGCCATGTATAGACCTAGAAACCCAGTGGAGAGTCAGCTATGAGTACATAGATTCTAACCAGAAGGCCTTGAGTTTGAGAGTTGAGTAAGTTATAACTGATAATGCTGCAATTCAATATAGAAAGATTTTACAGAATAATGTTGTTGTTGTTGTTGACCATCAAGTCAGAACCAGCTGATAGCTGACCCTCCAGCGAGTTTTTAGAGGCACAGGATAGGTGGGCACGGAGGAGAGTGCCCATCTTTCTCTCGCAGAGCAACTGGTGGATTTGAACCAGATCCCTTTCTTTGGACTCCTTACCACTAGGCCACCAGAGCTCCCTATTTTATTGTGGTGGTTGTTGTGGTCGTGGTGTACCTTCGAGTCGGAACCGACCCATATCTGACTCCCCAGCAGGTTTTCAGATGCAGTTAATCACAGTGGGATTTACAACCCATTTTACAGTTTGAAAAGCAGAGGCCTGGAGTGAAAAAGTCACTTCTTGGGGTCAGTTAGTGATGCAGGTGAAACCAGAACTTATTTGTCCTGCCTCATCCCACCCACCCCTCTGTGTCCTTTTGCCCTATTGTGCTTTTGGCTGCCCTACTGTTTGTGTCTCTGTGGTCGGAAAATGGCCCAAGTCACTACTCCATCACTGAAGTATCCCCCACCACCCCCATCCTCTTCTAGTTACCAAAACCATGCCCAATAAGAAGAAAATGAAGCTTTCCTGCAGAGACACCGGGGAATCCAGCAGGTAAGGTGTCACAATGGGAATGGCCAATACTGGGCTACCCTGGAAGAAGGTTGTGGAGAGACTAAAAGGTCATGGTGTCCAGAAAACTGTCCCGCAGCACTCCCAGTGCTCTGCTACTGGGACCGGAAAGGTGGACCTCACAGTGCATCTGTGTGAACTGGGTTCACGGACAGAGCTTGTTTCCATTTCAGGACCAGACTGGTCCAGCACAGGTCGCCATCCTTGACTGGGAAGGACATGGAGACATCCGTGGACTTCCCAGGAAGCCAACCAATGAGTCCGGAAGAACAGTTTGATGTGATGTTACGACAGGAGATGGAACTAGAAAGTAAAGAAAGCCAACCGTCCGAATCCGACTTGGAGGTATGTGCCTGTTGCTACCTTTTTCTTCATTTGCTAAGTCTTAACTCAGCGTCTCAGTCGATCTGGTTAGAAACTGGAGTTTGTAGCAGAATGAACTGGGAAGTGTGTTAAAAATACCAGTGGCCAGGTCTTGTGGCAGACTCATGAGGGAGGCGCAGCGCAAGCGTGCGTGCGTGTGCACATTTTCTCTACGCTGGTGGTGTTACGTGCCATCAAGTCAAAACTGATCCAAAGCAGAGCTGACCCTGCAGCAGGTTACCAGAGACTGTAAATCACAGAGGAGGAAATTGCCCGTCTTTCTCCTAAGGAGCAGCTGGTGGATTCAAACCACCTGTCTTTGGATTGGCAGTCCAATTCCCTACCTCTAGGCCACCAGAGCTCCTGTCTACAAAGTCAGTCCTACAAAATTATGCTTTTCGATCTTCATATAACTCAGGTCATAAAGTGGCAACTTGGGCGAGAGATGCCAGATTTCACATGGAAATAAAGCAAAATCCAAGGCACCCAATTAAATTTGACTGTCAGCTAAAAAAGGGAGGAGGATTTTATTTTTAAAGTAAAAGTACATGTTTGGTCATTTTATTTCATTCCCAATTTGCTCACCTGGATTTAGTTAACAATCACTTGTGGGCTGGAAGCCTCTTGTTTAAGTCAGTCAGGACCTGTTGGGCAGGCCTTTGTATTTAAAAGTTGGTTGGGGCTGGAGGGCCTGCTAATTGTGTTTGTGAAGAACAGTTGTTTTAACACCATGCTGCAAATGATGGTAATACATCAAAAAAAATGTGTTTCTAAGCAAGGTCATCAATTTAAAATTGTGCAGCAATGTGTTAAATGGTACAGCACTGGTCTGTCAATTTGCTGTACTGAGATAACTTGGGGTTGCTTTGATACTGAATGCTGTCCCATTGGTATATCAAATGCATAATAGTTACCTATGGTGGACAGGGTTTGGTGAAGCTCCACGATTAAGACAGACTTGGAAACAGGATTGGCATCTACGTCTTCAACAACAGGCCTTTGGAAACTCTATGACCATTAGAGAAATGACGATAGTTATAGAACAGGGTTCAGATCTTTTGTTCATGAGGTCGCTATGAGTTGTATACAACTTGACGGCACTTAACAACGACAAAAGTATTTGTGTGCCCCACTGTATACTGTGTTTCCTCTGGCAATCCTACTGTAGCTTGAATTCAAACTGTAGATGGTTTGAAAATGAGGCAATGTTCCCAGTCTTTCTTAAAAAATTAAAAGTTTCGGCACTGAGGTTCAACTGTCTTTATGAGATGAGAAACACACTCCTCATTACTTTCCCCTCAACATTCTTTATGACTTTCCGATACCCAGCAAATTTCCACTTAATACCTGCCTGGCCCCTGTATTGTTCTGTTTCTAGCTCCTTCATGAGAGAAGAACAAAGCTTTAGCACAAACAGGTGGTGTGTTTATAGCCATTCGCTGCCAGGTGACACTGACTCATGGTGGCACTGTGTATTGTCAAAGTAGAGCTGTACTCTATGAGGTTAAGTGACCTTTTAGAAGTAGACCACCAGGCCCTTCTGCCAAGGCACTCTGGGTGGACTCAAATGCTAGCCTTTCAGTTAGGAACCTGGTGCATTAACTGTTTGCACCCCCCTGAGACTCCCCTGGCCCTGTATTCTGATGGTTAATAATAAAGCCCTCAATGGCTGAATATGTGCACAAGTTAGTGCCACGTCACGACTTACTCATTATGAATCTTCACGTTGCCCGGGTGTGGAATTGTGAAATGCACACTGATGAAGCAACTTGCCCAGGGTCGCCCAGTAGGAGGGAAAACTAGATGTTAGGCCAGGCCAGACTAGTCCCAGCATGCCTCTGTGCTCTTGAGAACGATGCAGAATTTCTCAAACTTCTCAAATACGTGAAGATAAAAATCACTTACCTGCCACGTGGCTTTGAATCTTCCTGAATTGCCTGAGGAGAAGCCTGGGAATCTGGATCTTAACAAGAGTTAATCCAGACAATGCTAATAATCGAGTACCTTATATTAAACAGCTTCCGTGAAGACTAGAGAATGAAGGGTTGGCAATTATCTGCCACTCTGCTCAGAGGCAGTTAGCACAGACGCCCACAGCTGGTTTTGAACCCTTTTCCTACACTTTGCACTTCTCCTCCATCTGAGATGTTTTTTCTTAGGGCCACATCAAGGAGCTTAGAATCAAGCCATAAATGTGTGAAGCTCCCTAAAACTGCCGGGTTGCTCTTATCATTTTGGTTTTGTTGGTGTATTTAGGTTGCTTTCTAAACTCACAACATCATGGTTGGCTTGTAAGAACCATCGTGGGGGGCGGGGATTGTAAAACAATGAAAGAATTTGTCTTTTACTTTTCCAAGAGGGTAGTGTACTGGGGGGGGGGGGTTGGGAGGGGAGAAAAGTGCAACAATGAATGAATGGAAATCCAAAATCTCTGTAAATTTTCATTGAAATTAATAATAAATAAAAAAAATATTAAAAAAATAATTAAAAAAAAGAACCATCCTAAATTTCACCAGGATGTTGGAAATTCCTTGGAGCTCACAGCTTCAAGCCATCTTATCAGAATGTTTTGTAAAGAGGTGAACTGTTTGAATCCATGTGAAGAGTTTGTTATCCTGCTGAACACTCCCCAAATATAAACATGCTTCAAGATGCATAATAGGCTCCTCCCATGATGGCACTTGACAGTTATCTCTTTTTTTAAATAGTGGATCTCTAATGATTCTACAGAGTGGGGAAATTATTGTACAATATTACTCTTAACACACACAAGCCAAATCCTGCTGAAGATAATCCAGAAGTGACTGAAACAGTATATTGACAGAGAACTACCAGAAATGCAAGCTGGGTTTAGAAAAGGCTGTGGCACTGGAGAAATTATCGCCAATGTCAGATGGATCTCGGCAGAAAGCAAAAAATACCAGAGGGATATCTATCTGTGTTTCATTGACTATTGAAAGACATTTGACTGGGTAGATCACAACAAATTGTGGTTATGAGGAGAATGGGAATCCCAGAACACTTGATAGTGCTTATGCAAAACCTATACTTGAACCAGGAAACAGTCCTCTGAACAGAGCAATGAAACATGGCGTGGTTCAAAATCAGGAAGGGAGTGTTTCAGGGATACGTCCTGTCTCCATACTTTTTTCAATCTATATGCAGAACAGATCATTCTGGAGGCTGGGCTTTATGAGGAGGAATATGGCATCAGGAGTGGAGGAAGACTCATCAACAGCCTACGTTATGCAGAGTACACAAACTTGCTTGCTGAAACTAAAGAGGACCTGAAGCACTTGCTGCAGAAGGTCAAGGACTGTAGTCTTCAAGATGGATTGAAGCTCAGCATTGAGAAGTCAAAAGTTCTCACCGTTGGGCCAGTTGGCAGCACCATAATGGATGGAGAAGAGATTGAGGTTGTTATATAGCTTGTTCGACTCCACAACCAACGCTTTTGGCACCAGCAGTCAGTAAGTCAAAAGGCAAATTGCATTAGGTAAATCAGCTGTCAGGGATCTTTCCAGAGTACGGAAGAGCAATGATGTTAGTCTAGAGACTAAGGTGCACCTGATTCAGGTCATGGTCTTCATAATTACTTGCTATGCATCAGAGAGCTGGACATGACTAAGGATGACAGAAGAAGAATTGATGCCTTTGAGCTATGGTTCTGGAGAAGAGTCTTGAAAATACTGTGGACCTCCAAGAAAACAAATAGGTCTGTCTTGGAGAGGGTGACACCAAATTTCTCCTTGGAGGCTGGGATTTTGAAACTCCTTCCCGTCTACTTTGGACATGTGTCCAGGAGGGACCGATCCTTGGAGAAGGACATCATGCTTGGAATGGTGGAGGTACAGCACAGGAGAGGAAGATCCTGGATGAGATGGATTGATAGAGTAACTAAGGCAATGGAGGTAGGTGTGTCGTAGTCAGTGAGACAGGCTTCAAAACTGTTGTACATAGGGTCACTATGAGTCACAAGTGACTCAATGTCACAGAACCACAACAATAACAACATCTCTGGGATTGCAGTGCAGCTTCTTGCCACTAGGCCACCAGAGTTCCCCAGTAACAACATCTCTGAATATTATTTTTTATTTACTTCCCCCTCCCTCCCTATTCAAACCATTGTGTATGTCTTCTTCCAGACCGTTAATTGCAATACAGATAGTTTCTGATTGTCCACTCATTTCAGATTGCCCTTCCCTCCACCTGCTCCAGGGCGCTCTGGTGGTTTAGAGGTTAAGGAATTGTGCTGCCTACGGAGAGGTATGTGGTTCCAATCGATGAGCTGTTCCAAGAGAAAAAGATTGGTAATCTTCTCTTGTGTCACTTACAGCATTTGAAAACTCACTGGAGGGTCAGCTATAGGTTGGTTCCAATGGTACATACCAAACAACAACCACCTATTCCAATACTGCGTTCATTCCCCATCCATTCTTTTCTTGCCCTTGCCATTGACAGTCCTTTCTTAAATCCCATTGAAATCTGTCTGGCTTTGCTCGTATCCTCCAGAGACATGACGGAAACTGGCCCATAATCTGGACCCAATGAGTATTAGGTGGCAGATCCAGAAAGCATGCTGGCAGCAAGTGAAGAGTGAGGAGGGGAGCGCTGTGCACAGGGCCGCCTAGTGGTGGGTGGGTGTGGGGGCTGGGCACAATCCTGATCATTTCCTTGCTGTTGTGTTGATGCTGCAGAGATACTACTTCTATTTGACCAACGGGGTCCGGAGAGACATGATTGCCCCCGAGGACGATGAAGTGGCAGTCCGGATTTCAAAGTTGATTCCTAACAAACTGCTAACAAGCACCTTGGAGCCCCTGCTGAAGGAGCTCTTTCAGGAGAAGGAAAAGGACTATTACGACAGCCTGAGGAAAAGCATTGGTAAGGCTGGGCGAGCGGGAGGGAGGCGTCATCTTTCTGCTCATGTCAGGTCTCCACGCTGGTTCCTCTGAAAATACCAAAAGCATCATTTCACTTTTCAGTCCCAATGACAGTGTCCCATCACTGAAATCCACCATCTCCCTCCAGTTCCATGTGCATTCAGATCACCTGAGAATCTTGTTAAAATGTATACTCCGAGTGAAGAGTTTCAGGATGGGGCCCAATATTCTGTTACCAACAGGGTTCCAATTGATAGGGTCTTTGCCTTTTTAAAGTAAACAACACTTAGAACAGGCATGTGGATAAACAAACTTTGTTTACTTCTTGGAAGTACAAAGGAGATAGAAGCTAGTGCATTTGAGAAATGGAATCGCAAAAGGGGGAGGCGTTGTGGGAATATTGATAGATTAGTAAGGGCATTGGACAGGGCTTGTTCTTCTTTTGTGTTTTTTGGGTAAGAAGATACGGTTTGCTTAGATAAGAAGGTCTTATCCAAACCTAGAGGTAGGTACATATAGCTGATCTTCAAGATGTAGTTTGATTAAGCACTTTTAGTCACACTGTAACTTCCTATCGACTACACACCACCACAGCTTCCTCCAGCCTGCCAGTCTATGTCTGGTTTTGCCAGCACCACTTGTTGAAGAGTTTGTCATTTCACCACTTGATAGATTTTGTTTCCTTGTCAAATAGCAGTTGAGAAATGATGATAGTTCTAGAAAGGCTTCAAGCCTTTTGTTCATAGGGTCGCTATGAGTCGTGCTCGACTCAACAGCAGTTAACAACAACGTAGGTAGATGGGTCCATTTCTGGGTTCTCGAGTCTCTTCCATTGGTCTATTTGTCTGTGCTGTTTAGGTTATTACAGCTGTGCAGTAGGTTTTGAGGTCAGAGAGTGCTATGCTTCCCATTTTTTTTTCAGAAGAACTTTGCTTATTCAGGGTCTCTTTCTTTTTCAAATAAACTTGCCAGTTGCCTTTGCTATTTTGGTATCTGTACTGGGATTGTGTTAAACATGTAGGTTGCTCTTGGTAGGATTGTCATTTTTACGATAATTGAGTCTTGCTATCCATGAACAGGTACTATTTTTCCATTTATGCCTTTGAGTTGTGGTGCTGGAGAAGGGCACCAAGTATCCCATGGACTGCCAAGAGAGTAAACCAATATGTCTTGGAGAGAGTACAACCGGAATACTCCTTGGAGGGAAGATTGTGAAACTTTATCTTACTTTGGGCATGTTGTTAGGAGAAGTCAGTCTTTTGAGAACAGAATAATGCGTGGGAAAATGTCAGGTCAGCGAAGGAGGGGAAGATCCTTAACAAGCCCAGTTGACATAATGACTATAAAGATAGACTCTAATGTGGCAGAGATGATGAGGATGGCACAGGACAGGGCAGAGTTCAGATCTGTTGTTCACAGGGTCACTAGGAGTCATATTCTCTCCAGGGGCCCAGCCCTGCTTAGCTGCCGGATCTTAGATGGGGGGAGAGTAAGCCAGTCTGTGGAGTAAACCTGCACTGGCTCTAAGCATGGAACACGGTGCCGCTCAGAGTTCCCACTTGGTCACAGCAGGGTGTTTACTCTATTTTTTTTAAATTATTATTAAATTTTATTTGTTTTAATGAACATTTACAGAGATTTTGGGTTTTCATTCATTCATTGTTGCACTGTGTGTTTACTCTCTTGATTACAGTTGATTACATCCTCATGGACCCCACAGAGAGAAAAAGACTCTGCATCACAAGCATCCCCCGCCCGTTTCCTCAGAGGGTGATCCGGGCCCCCGTGCCCTGGCATAGTGCCTACGTGTCTGCCAAGAAGTGGAACAGGAAGCATCTACATGTCGTCAACCCCATGATGCTCAGCCTGAAGGACTTGTGGTTCTCAGAGTAAGACGTGCCTCTCTTCCCTCTTCTCTCCCATCCATCCTTCCTTCCTTCCACACAGAAGAGAACCTCCCAGATTGGGCACAGTGGAAGCAGCATCAGACAAAATTCTTAGACCAAAGTGCACATGAGACCTTAAGTATCAGCTCTTCGCCCTTCACAGGTGACCTTTCTTTGTGCTCCTCCTAGACCCCTGTCTGTCTCTACGCAACGGACTGTGCTGACTGAGAGCACAGAGGTAGAGCCAGCCTGCTCATGTTCGAATCCTAGTTCCATCACTTCATGAATGATGTGGGTCTGTTACATCACTGCCTCTCTGTTTTCCTCATCTCTAAACTTTTGGAAAGAGTTCCGGCTAGCTTAGTGGTGAGGAGTTGCATTGCCAACCCAGAGGTACATGGTTCGAATCCACCAGCTGCTCCACAGGAGAAATAAGGAAAATCTCTTTCCATGCAATTTACAGCCTCTGAAAACCCTCTGGAGAGCCAGCTATGAGTTCAACAGGGCAGCAAACAACAAATGCTGGCGAGGTTGTGGAGAGATTGGACCTCTCATTCACTAAAAGGTGGCAGTGTAAAATGGTACAGCCACTATGGAAGGCAGTCTAACACGTTCTCAAAATGTTGGAAATAGAGATACCATTTGATCCAGAAATTCTGCTACAGGGAGTATACCCTAAAGAAACCAGAGCCACAACTCAGACGTATGTACACCCATGTTTATTGTTGCATTATTCACAACAGGAAGGAGATGATGGAAGCACCCCAAGTGTCCATCAACATATGAATGGATAGAAAAACTGTGATACGTTTCCTTAACTTTTTATATTATTGGTCTTATACCATCGTTGTCCTTTTTTTGTATGATATATGCTACTCAATATTTCATCCATGTTGTGCAATATTTTGCAAATTCTTGATCAGTTTCTCCATGATGCATTTGGTGGATGTCCCATTTGGTTTCTTCAATGATTTGTTCATTGAAAATCATTCGGCTTCCAGAGCCAAGGCTGCATAGTGGAGTGGACCTGGGGGGAGGGATTGTAAAACAATGAAAGAATTTGTCTTTTTCCTTTTCCAGGAGGGTAGTGTATGAGGGGGGAGGGTTGGGAGGGGAGAAAAGTGCAACAATGAATGAATGGAAATCCAAAGTCAATTAATTTCAATTTTTATTGAAATGAATAATAAATTTAGAAAAAATGGGGGGAAAATCATTCGGCTTGTTTCTAATACTCTCTATTAGAGTAATGATGACGTAAACATGGTTGTGAGTCTGGATTGTGTTACAGCTCTTACTTCTCTAGGATATAAACCTAGCGCTGGGATTGCTGGGTCAAATTTCCACTTTTAACTTTTTAAGGAAACACCAAACTGCTTTCCATAGTGTGAAAAAGGTTATACCATTTTGCATTCCCACCAGCAGTGTAATAAAGTTCTAATCTCTTACCAGCGTTTATTGTTAACTGCCCTGTTGAAATGTGCTATTGTTGCTGGGATGAGATGGAATCATACTGTTTTGGTTAGCATTTCTTTGACAGTTTATTATCTTAAGTGGTTCTTTTTGTGTTTATAGACTGAATGTCTTTTGTGAAGTGTTTTTTCCTGTCTTCTATCATTTTGTAAGTGGGCTGTTTATCTTTTTCTTGTGGAGGTGTTGGAGTTTTCTATTAATTTTAAAGAGGAATCTTCTTGTTTTAAAATAATTTTAATGAGCATTTACAGAGATTTTGGATTTCCATTCATTCATTGCTGCACTTCTCTCCCC